TTACTTCGTCTGTCACCATGGGGAGCGCTTGTAGTTCCTGGGCCATTTGTCCGTGTATCATGATGGTAGGTGCGGGGGGGGGGGTGGGGGGGGGGGCATACAGGAAGCAATAGCAGCCCTCTGATTGGCTCATTTCTGCCGGTAGGGAGAGAGGGAGGGAGAATGGAGACACCACCGTTAAACCAGCTGTGGCTAAACGCCAAAAAACACAATGTGTAATCCAACAATTACAAGTAATTTAATGTTTTGACTTGTGGAATCCAATAGTTGAAATGAAAGGAGTACTCAACAATCAAATGCCATCAATCTTCAACAATTTCTAAGAGAAATTTCTAAGAGAAAGTTTACATTCTGAGGTCTCAAGAAAGTAAAATTAATATTTCACTCTGGTTCTTTAAAGAAAGGCTTTTACTTTTTTCCCAACAGATTTCTACAAAGCATTTCTGATTACCTGCGCAAATCTACAATAAAAAGGAAAAAGTAACTAGTATGACTCTTGTTTTCTCTTAGGGCACTACTAAATATATTTTTTTAAGGGAGCTAAATATGAATTACTTATGCTTAGAATCGCAAAATACAAGACGTAAACTTAGAACAACATATATGGACACAGTGTATTTAACAGGAAAAGTAGGAATGTTTTAATGTTGTCGTTGTGGTTCAACTGTAGCAGCAATGTAGCTTTTTATAAAAACAGAAAAGCCAGAGAGAATAAACACAAAAGAAGTCAAGAGCTTTGATGCTGTGAGAGGCTGTTTTATACAGCTCTGAGGAGGTGCTTGGTCTCTGCTATCATGAAGTAGTTTTTTACTTTCATAAAATTGCATGTAATATAAATAGAGTAAAAAGGAGAGTTATGTGCTTTAATCACAAAGAGTTGAAATAGTGTAAATCTTTGCAGCTATGGTCTGGTTATTTAGGATTTGACAGGAGGTTATAAGATTTTTTATGCAAACTTCCTATTTTATTTGAGTTGGTTGCATAGGAAAATTGGTATTTGATCTTTCAGGCCAGAAAAATTAATATCACATTAAGTTGGTGCATATCATGATTGTTTATCCCATTTGTTCTTATTTCAGGCCCTGGGGTTGATTTGTACTCTGCCTGCATATTTTTAAGACAGACTCTACTATGGAGAGATTTATATAAAAAAAAACAATTAAAAAAAAACATTTGTAACATTTCTAACATAGAGTTTAATTAAATATAACACAAACATCTACAGTTAACCTGTTTGACTCTAAGGTCAAGTCTTTCACTACTGGTTTTATTGTTAATGTAATCCCAGACAGCATCATTAAATCCTAAAGGCTAAGTGATTACATATGTTTTGACACTTTTTTTTTACTTATAGTATATCAGCTGATCAATGAACAGATACCACTCTACTTACGTCTCAAACTTTTGAAAACTTGCAATATATGAACTTCAAACTGTTCTTTTTCTTAGAGGAGGGCTACTAAGAGAAGACAAATAACCCCATCTGCTGGAAAACCTTCATCAATTCATTCTAGTGTCTGTCCAATCACAGGTTTATCTTGCAGTGATGCATTATAAGCCATGGAAATTTAAAAATGTTTGACGGGTGCCTTGTTAACTCATTTACCTACATTGTTTAGTATGTCGTTTGGCTGATGTAGTAACATTTTTACCATAGAAAACTTTTTTTTACTCGTCCTCTGTGAATTAGCAATCATAACTTTTGCAGTATAAAAACGGTGCCACACAATACTTACCAACATTATCGCTGGGTGCACATAGGTAACCAGATTACTTGCATTTCTTATTATTATAGTAAAAGAAGCTCATTATAAGCTGTTCTCGATGTTTCTGAATCTACGTCAAACTGTCGTGCTAAATAATAACATTCCTTCTCTTCGTTTTCCTCGATTTAATTTTCATTTAAGAAAAAAACGAATCAATATTTTCTAAGGTTATTTCCTAATATTACTGAACAAGCAACAATGTATTTTGCAGACTTCATATGATCAATGGTCTTTGCGCCAATATTAGATGACCATGATACCTTAAAATACAAGGAGCATTTGAACACAACATAGACTACAGTAACTGTCATGGCGTCTTCCTTGAAGGGGGTTTGGTATCCTTAACAGTAACTGCTATCATATTTTTAGGTTCCTCTCCTAACGTAGTATAGCGTAAAGAGGTTAAGAGCTGCCGATATCTGATATGGGGACAGTCCATGCTAAGGTAAACCGCATCAACTCTCTGTTTCAGCCTTCCAGTATATATATATATATATATATTTTAATTTTTGACCTCCCTTTACACTGAGGATTGACGGCTGCAGACCCATCAGCTTGTGAACTCGATGTTCTGTCATACACTGTTTGAATTCGAAGTTATGTGGCTGATTTTCTGGAATTGAAACGATTTAGTGCTACCTTCGCGTGTATAAGAACATTAATGATGTAGGTATTGATTTAAAGACGTAAAAAACGTATTTGTACATTTAGAATTAAATACCATCTTAATTATGGTGGGAAGATATTTTTTATGTAAACGTACAAGCAAAAACATTTAATACATTTCCTTCCAACAGCTGGCCTTTGAACTATCTATAATTTGGGTCAACAAAATATTTTCATAGGCGTGATGGTTAGCTACATGTCTTCAAAGCCAGAGGGGGCGAGTCTCTTGGCGAACCAGGACCTTTCTTTGTGGAGTTTGCATGTTCTCCCTGTGTCTGCATGGCTTCTCTCTGGGTTCTCTGGCTTCCTCCCACACTCCCAAAACCTGCATTTTAGACATTATTGGACATTATTGCAAATTGCCCTTAGGAGTGAGTCTACGTGGTTGTTCGTCCTTGACTGACCATGGACTGGCGGACAGTCCAGGCTGTACCCCGCCTCTGGTCCATTGACTATTGGGTTAGGCTCCAGTCCCCCTGTGACCCCATTAGGGAATAAGCACTTATGAAAATGGATGGATGGATGATAATGTTTTCATTGAAATAAACAGCCTATGTCCAGGGCGGCTGTGGCTCAGGAGGAAAGAGCAGTTGCCCACTGATTGGAGGGTCAGTGATTGAACTCCATGTTCCTCCAGACCACATGTCCTTGGGCAAGGCTCTGAACCCCAAGTTGCCTACTGGTTGCATCTGGTGGATGACACCTAGTGTAAAGCGCTTTGACTAGTCAGCTTGACTAGAAAAGTGTTATATAAGTACATGTACATGTCGATTTTTTTTTTTCTAAATTTTTAATTTAATGTTGTGATTATACATTCTAACAAATAAAACCAGGATACAACCTCCAAATTGTGCATTGAGGTAACTTACATTAACAGCGTAAATGGAACTCACAATTCAACATTTTATTTATTAGAAGGATGCCATGTGTCTGTGTTTGTACAAACAGTGAAACGTCTTAATATTTTCTTCTTGACCTTTTTGCAGAGTCTGGATCCTCTTCCAATGCATGGCAGGGATTTAGGTATCAATAATGATGATTTGATGGAGCCTCCAGAACATGAGCAGGAGTCCAAGCAGGAGATATTGGAAAACAAAGATGTGAGAAGTGTTTGCGTCATAATTCATTACTCAGATTATGTTGATTAGTAGGAATAAAATTATCTTTTTAGTTTTTCATTGGTGGCCAAAAAGCATTATCTCTGTAATCTCATTTTGTTCATCTGCAGCATACTATTGGCCTGTAATATGCAGGCAGATAAACATGAGCTCTACAGAAATATAGGAGCTGAGGGAGCTAAATACAGTTGAAAGATTATTTTTATCCACAAAATAGCGTTTATTTGTCCATGATATATATATCATGGACAAATAAAAACTAACTGTCCTTTACAACAATAACAGTGTATACACTGTTATTATTGTAAAGTACAGTGTAAAAAAAAATGTTTCTGAGAAATGTTTACACTTAAACTCAATCATGCAAATATATGTCACTCAGGTTGGTCTTAATTATAAAGTATGTGCAATTTGTTCCCTTTTATGCACTGTCATATTTTAATCCAAAGTGTGGATTTGTGCAAGTTTTTTTAGCTGATAATATAACAAAATGTAAATGTCAAAATGTAAAAGTTTCAGTTGAGTCAACTTTTTTGCATAACTTTATTATACATAGATTGTTTAGGGGGGAAAAGAAAATTATAAGTTGGTATTTATTGCAGTCAAAACAACAATCCTGAAGACTATAACAATTTCAAGATTAGGGAAAACAGATTTGAATGTTAATTCATATATGATAGTAACTTTTGAAAAAAAATCCGTATTTATTACAGGTAGTCGTGCAGCATGTCAACATCCAGGGTCTGGGGAGAACCAAAGAGGATCTGCTTGGCTATGAGATTTCAGATGTTTTCCTCGCCAGAAATCTCATTGATGTATGTTTTTATTATGTGGCAATAAAGCATGTTGATGCCAAAACAACTTAATATGAACTCTGTATAATTTAGTAAGTTTTTATCTTTTCCAGGTGATGAAAAAAGCTCATCTTGCTAGGCAGAGGCTTCTGCGCCTGGGAATTTTCAAAGATGTAGAGGTTCTCATCGATACATCTGAAGGTAACTCATCCCGCGTACAAAAATGTTAAAACAATGTTACCTTTCTCAGTGCCCAATGTAGTATTTTGAATATGATTGTATAGTTAGTCCAGATACTTAGCTAACAGTGATATAAAGAGAGATTTGTCTTTGCGGTTGTGTTTTTTGTCTTCAGGTACAGATGCTCTGCCTAATGGTTTGGATGTAACTTTTGAAGTCACGGAGATAAAGAGACTAACTGGATCCTACAACACCATGGTTGGCAACAATGAAGGAAGCATGGTGAGAAAAACAACAGTGGTCTCTTAAACTTTTTTGGGGGGGGAGGGTAATGTGTATTATCTTTGTGTTGTCTTGTAGGTCCTGGGCCTGAAGCTACCTAACATGTTTGGCCGGGCTGAGAAACTCACCTTCCAGTTCTCTTATGGGACGAAGGAAACATCATATGGCCTATCCTTCTTCAAACCACAGCCAGGATACTTTGAGCGCAAGTATGGCCACAAGTCACTACAAATACAGAAAGCAGCAGTGGTGCAAAAGTAGAGCATCACATTTAAAATTAAAAACTTCTGTTTATATTTTTTTGTCAAACTGTTATTTTTCCATGGGATATTTTAGAATGTTTAGATAAAACATTGTTTTTAATTTAAAATAAGGACAGACCTGAGAAGTTTATACCATTGCTTACCCATAGCCTTAATAATAGATATGGCACATTCAGATTAATGAGGTGACATTGAGCATTATCACATTTTGCCACACAAACAGAGGCCACTTTCTTGAATTTATATTAAACTTAAATAAAAACGTTATTTTCTGCAAACAGTATCATTTTTACCATCAAACTGTATAACTTCTTGCACCCGTTTTTCCCTCTTGCTTCTGCTCAGCAACCAGTGTTTCCCCATCAAATTGTCAGGATTTGATTATAATAAGCTGAGCTCACAATAACCCTTTCTAAACATTTGTAAATCTGCATTAACATGTCCACGTAATTAAAATTGGCCTCAATCTGTCCCCTAAATACAGAAATTTCTTCTCTCCAGTTTTATTGCTTTAATTCTCTAACAAAAAAAACAAAATATATTTATATATATATTTCTAAAGGTAATTTTCCTAATATTACTCGAAAATGTATTTTATAGACCTCACATTGCATAAGTCCTTGCACAAGTGTATTTTTCCCCCTTGACCTCCCTTCACACTGAGGATGGAGTCAGCAAACTTATTAGCATGTGGACTAAGATGTTCTATGACACCCTGTTAAGACACATGTGAATCAGAAAATATTTTTTAATGATTTAATATTCCAGCATCGACTTAAAAGTGTGAAAAAACATGACTACATTTTAAATCAAATTCCTTCTAAAATATGATGGTTGATATTTTTGTAATTGGTAAATTGGTGAACGACTCTTAGATTGACATGAAAACTCTTCAGTCTGTACTTAGTTGATGGTGTTAAAAAATACAAAGAGAATCCACAAAACCAGCACATCTACCAAACCTGTGGAGAATTTGTTGTTTTTTTCTCAGAAAAATTAGCCAGTGGCACATTCTAGCATGGTTGATATCAAGAAAGGACTACATGGTGAAACTTTTGCTACAAATTAAGCCATGATAAGACCTGGTTAGAAAAAAAATGACCATTTTTTTTTGTTTAGTATTCAAGCTGCTGAAGCTTTATGTAAAAGATGACAGCCAAAATCAAAAGAATTCTACAATATATATTGTTTGTATTTGTACAATTTAATAATTGGGTGCACCTACTTCCTGTTTTCCTGTCATCGGGACCTTACTCCATGCATTCTATATGTTATTTATTACAACTAAAAACAAAACTTTATCTAATTGTATACCATGTTCCTTAACAGCCATTTTTTAAATAAATTGATATTGTAATGTGCATGTTTTCTTTCTTAATCCTTTGTGTACCCGTGTAAATGTAAAAGCAAATGTATGCATATGCAACACACATTGTTTATCCTCCTATTTGTTCAGGTTAATTTAATGCTAGTTAAGTGTGTGTTGGCTTTTGTTTGGATTAGGTAACAGGCAAAAAAGCTTTTTAAACATAAACTCTAACAAATGCATAAATGTAAACTATATTGATCCATACAAGGTACATAAAGGATAAAAACCAATGAGCAGATTGCAAGAATTGCAAAAAAGTACTATTTTACAGTTGTCTTTTGTTCATGTCTTTTCAGCCTCACTCTTAACATGTATAAAGTCACCGGACAGTTTCCATGGAGCTCCTTAAAAGAGACTGATAGAGGCGTGTCTGCTGAACTAAGTGTAAGAGGAAAATATCTGTATGTATCATAGAGTGCTTATATGCATGTGCTATTTGTTTAGACTTTTCAACTTTTCATATGACACATGTGAATCTGACGCAATATGTTTCTTATGAAATACAGAATAACAACATTGCTTGTTCTCCATTTTTCTGCAGTTTCCTTTTGGGATGACCAACCACACACTCAAATGGGAGGGTGTGTGGAGGGAGCTTGGCTGTCTTGCACGCAGTGCTTCGTTTGCTGTGCGAGAGGAGAGCGGACACTCATTAAAATCTGCCATTTCGGTACAGCCAGGAATTTTGTGTGGCATAGCTCATTGTTTCTGTAGTTTTTCTTTTCAGTTTTCCAAATATGTACACCATTTTAAGAAAGTTTCAGAGATGAAAAATCTTTTTTAAACTCTACCAGTTAAGCAGAGTTTGTTTTGGTTTTGTTTGCAGCACACTATGTCAGTGGATACAAGAAACTCTGCAATCTTTCCCAGCAGAGGTGCCTTACTTCGCATCAATCAGGTCAGTGTGCAAGCACGTGTCCACGTATGTGCTTGCAAGCACATATTGGCATACATATTCATACGTGTTGTGTATAGATAGATAGATAGATAGATAGATAGATAGATAGATAGATAGATAGATAGATAGATAGATAGATAGATAGATAGATAGAT